GCTTTCTTCTTCTTTCTCCTAAGACTCTGACCATAGAGTCACGATGCCCGGCCCCAACGTTGGTAACTGACTTGGAAGTTGACGACTTGAGACAAACATACACACCGTCTACCCCCACCTGCGCACAAACACCATCGTCCCGGCCGCTACTTGGTCGTCTGCAACTGACATCGGCCGGGCTGCACTACCCTCCAACGCGCCCGCAACTCTGCGCCCGCGCCCTCCGAAAAAGCATCCTCTCCGCCTGACAAGTGCCGCTGTATCGTTCCCCGGACCTTCCGCACCCGCACCTCCAACCCGCCGATCAGTTGCAACGAAGAAGGAAGAGTTGTGACAACTTACAAGCCCAGCCGCGGATCAGGCGCCTGCAGTCACACTGTTGGCCCGGTTCATCGTCTTGGGGGGCCGGCGGCGACGGCAGAGAGCCTATTTTCAGTTTGGTGCCGGGACGGTTGGCTGCCGGACGACTCGTGGGCCACCATTTCGGTCGCCCAGCCCATGCCTCCCTTTTTCTTTTTTTTTCTTTTTTTTTCTTTGCGCTTTAATCGTTGGTTGGTTCGTCAGCAGTTGAGTTCTTCGTTGCACCATCTAGAAGACTCAGCCTCGGCTTCGTGACACCGTCATCCCAAGTGCTCGATTCTCACTGGGTAATGGCTTCGGCGCAATACGCCCACCTGAGACACGTGCAGTGTTCCAGCCCACACTGGACGGAGACCACCTAATATTCCTGTGTCTGCGCGGCTATATTTCCTGTGCACTTAACCACTCCTATTGAAAGTGATTGTAGCGGCCCAATAGTGACGATGAGGACGATAGCAACGACGAAGACGACGGTAAAGTGATTAGAGTATAGCTACAGGAAAAGTAGTCTCTAGCACAGGAAAAATAGGCGGTCTCGCTGGACGACCACCTCGCTCATTGCTACCCGCTGATAGCACGACGCCAGATATCGCCATCGCCCATTCTATCTACTGGCGCAGGCAAAATCCCGTGGCCTGTCAACTGGGCATCCGGGTTCCCCAATCCCCATTCCCCATTCATCCCATATCGGTAGTCTAGCTGTCCACGTGCCCTTGCTCAGAGGGGCAGGTATCCCGACGGGGGCCACTTTGCCTGCCTAGCGGCACGGACAGGTGAGAGATAAGCTGCGATGCGTATGCGCGATTGCACCTGTCACAATGCGGTTGTGATTGACAACTTGACAACAGTAACCTTATCTCCGGGAGCGAAGGGTCAGGATTCCGAGACCGCGGAACACATTGAAGAATATTTTCTTGTTATTTCCCTTTCCACTCCAGAGCGCTCGGTCGAGGCCACTGGCAGTTGCGTTCGTCCATTTCCGTTTCAGCCCTGTCGATCCGGTAAAGGCCCCCCATCCCCAGACCTTTCCTATGCTGCCCATCTGACTGACCCCTTCGAAGTCTGCCCACTTTGACAGACCATTCTGTGCTTGAGCCCCATCGTCGGATGTCTTGATCGTGAGCACGTCAGCTATTCTCCATCAAAGAGTCTCAAAATGCTTGCCGGCCGTCGCTCGGCCCTTCCGGGCCCTCTCCGTCATGGACATGCCTACGATACGACCCTCGTTCGAGAACCGTTGGCAGTTGATGAACACTCATCTGCGTCTATTTCTCTCACCTCGCAGACTAACGACAACCGGTGTCCGTGCTCGTCCAAGCGGGAACCGCAGAGGGTCACTTAATTAGAAACCTTCAGACCGTGCCCAACTATGGATGGCACATCTGATCAAACGTCTCATACTGTGGTTCCTGCATACAATTTTCCACTCTCTCGTCTTTGACAGCAGAAATCAGCGTTCAAGTTTCGAAAAAGGGAGAAGGATTTCGTGCAGGACGCAAGGGCTCTCTCTACTACCGTTCCTCGTCGAACATCGGCTCGTCAGTGTTCCTTTTCGCATTCGCTCATGCAAATGTGATGCAAGTGCGTCCAAGCCAAGTAGTCTGCAGTCAAACGGCGAAGCTGCATGTACATTCGCAACGGAGTTACCATATAGTCGTAGTCGCGTGCTTCAGTCGGTCCTCAAGTCGCCGGGTGAACACTCGCAGGCACACACACATACACACACGCTTCACCGTTGTCTGCAAGACGTAGGGCTGTTGACGAAGATTGTCCCCTGCGCGCCGTTGAGATTAATCCACCGCCCCTTGGGGTTTCGGGACGTGTTCGTCTGAGACGGAGCTCGGCGCGGCATCCGAGAGGGGACTCTGCTTCAGATGATGCTGCCCCTCAAACCCCCCTCCAACCCAGGGGCAGGGACTTTTTTTCCCCCACCTTGTGCTGTCGTATTTTGCGATCCTATTAGCCGAGAAAGATGAATCAGGCGGAAAAGGCTTGTTCACGACGAACGGTGGAGGGATTAGGGTTGCAAAGCCTGGGGTCGTTCTGTGAATAAAAAAGACTTGAATCAACGTGCGGCGAAAACCGACAGGTTGGTTATGCTTCCCTTAGAGTTTGAGAAGGAGCCATCTACCCCGGACGCTGGCATGTCCACTTGAAGACTCAAGCCGTGACTTGGGACTTGTTCGTCCGGTTCAGATCGTTGGAAAAAGTCACATCTTTTTAGAGTTGTTGACATGTTGATCCGGATACATTGAGGCTGGTTGCCGCGGCTTGCCTGCTTGTGGACTGAGGTCCCGAGTTGTTGAACCAGGGAGCATGGGTGCTGAGCGTGGTTTACATTGCATCGTCAATGCTCACCGGCATGATCCGGACTCAAGAGGTTGATCTTCAACAGCCGAAAAAAGGGCATCCTGGCATCCCTTTTGAAGAAGCTTCGTGGTTGATTGTATTGAATAGATACATTTGGGGGGCCTTCAGACGGGATCTTCAACTCGGGTGTCCAGACTTTGACAATGTGGTTCTAGACGTTGTAGCACTCGGCATGCCCGAGCAGGGGTTTGTTGGTGATCTGCTGTGCGCTTGAAACTCAGGAGTGGCCTGCGTGTAACATAACTGCCTCTTTGAGTATTGTCAGAAAATGGAGAAGAAGAAAAAAGTTGCGAAAGACTTAGAACAATGCCCCCAATTGACAGACACATCGTAAAAAAGCAAAGAGAAACTCCTCGACGGGGAATTGAACCCCGGTCCCCGGCGCATCGTATGAATGACAAGCCGATATCCTCACCACTAGACTATCGAGGATGCTGATGATCATGTCTGGGTAAGGCGCTCAAAGTGAATATGGAGCCCACGACGCTCTCCCTCCCCACTTAGGTCGCTAAGTTAGCGAGAACAGCGAGAGACGAGAAACCTAAGGCTCTTTCTATATGTTGTTATTATTCTAGTTATTATTATTATTATCCTCACTGTTATCATCCTCACTGTTATCATCCCTCTTCTTTATCCCTCTTCCTCGTTCCTCTTGTGGTCCCATCGTCATCTGGAAGAGCTCATATCTCTATTGATGCTGTCGCTATCCCCCTTTTCTATCCTTGATCCCATTAGTTTAACTCCCCTTGTAATTCTTCCTGTCGTCACTATTTTCATCTGTCATCTCTGCTGTTATTATTCTTCTTCTTATGGCTGTCATTTCTGTCGTTATTACTCTTACTGTTGTAGTAAAGTTGATACTTCAATAAGGATAATAGCAGTAGAGGAAATGACAGGGGAAGCGATAATAATAACGATAACAGACGAGACGACGACAGACGACGCGGACGGATTACACGTATACGTGGTAGACACTGCCCGGATAGTCAACTGACACTACCCAGCAAACAAAACTTATATAAAATGCTATTTATATCAAAATGAACATTCTGTCATTACCTTTAAAGGCAGAACATAATTAGACTAGATACAAAGATAAACCCACCTTCCATTAGAGTCTACGTCGTACATCATCAACGAGACCTTGGATCTAATTCTGTCCATAGAAGCTCCTGTACGCCCATAGTTCCACCTCTTTTTATTCCGTCCGTCCCTGCTCGGTGCTGTTGCCGTTATCATCAGAATGAAACCCTTTCACAACTATCAGCTTGAAAGCACCAGCCCACCCTGGCCTAGATGCCTGAACCCTTTCAGACGAGAATCTATCGTCTTGCTCGGCGACCCCCTGTATTCACTGCATGTATCCTGCTGATCAGGGAGGAGAATATTGCACACCTTGCTAAGCATCACGTCCAGAAAATACAGGTTACACCTCCTAAAGTCGCCAGTGATGTATCTACATCGATTACTACTGACGTAATTTGAAGCATCATTTCATCGTTCCATCGCTATAGTCGTCGTCGCTTTGGTCATTGTTATTGACGCGTCCTCTTCGTCTTCGTCATTGCCGCCGTTGTCATTGCAATTATCCTGCATCACTTTTCGCTCAAATAACAAAGTTCTTCGGAAGAATTACGTCTCCTAAACCTAGGTCCACTGTGACTAGCCCCTGGCGATGTAACACCATGTGCCGGATCTTGTCCCCTGATCATGATGCTTGATGACGGTGCCTCGGGAGAGCCCAAATGCCACCGAGAACAACAACAGGTTACCAAACAAGAGTGTTTCGAAGGGGATTGAAGGGGCCACTCAAGTCATGGTCTACAAAGTTCCCTGGGAATGACGTTCACTGCATCGATGGTTGACACTTCCGAGAGGCACAAGCACACGGCGAGGCAAACGCTGGGTAACTCTTACGAATCTGCTATATTCTTTGTATAGCGTACCGTAATAATCAAAAGTCATACACCCGTATCCTCATGCAATCGAGACTCGAAGAAAAACGTCGAGGCTAAAAGTATGGCCTGATGTATGCCAGGGCATGAGAGGTCTATCTCTATTTACGCCTCATTGTATCCTCTCTGCTTTTTTTGTAATGCCTTCACTAACCTTGTTCATAGACTCGTATGCACACCGGGTTTCCGTATTGAAATGCGTACCCGGTAGTCTTTTCGTACCCTCGCCCGACTCGTCAAGAATGGCGGACCGCTAGTCTAAGACGACCCCTTTTGTTGGAAAAACCTAGAGCAAACCCCAAGTCGCCGCGGCAACTAGGACCGAGGACGCTGGTCCGCCTCGTCCTCGAGATGGATCTCCGCTGCTTCAGTGGAAGCGACATCGTCATCGACAGCGGGGACCGAGATGACCTTGTCCTTGTTTTGACGCTCCCATGCCGCATTCTGGATCTCAGAGAGTCCGATTTGCGCGCTAAAATCCGGTGGCGGTGGCGCTTCCTCATGAGTCGCATCCCCGTATTCTCCAAGGGTCTCGTCAAACTGCATGTCCGTATCGTTGTCCCTGTCGTCCGAAGAGTCAGGCTGGGCGTCATCGCTGGCGTAGCCTTCCATCCCGAGAGAGTTGGCCGGGCCATCATTGGAGCTCAGGGAGTTCCAGTTCCACGTCTGTGTTGCCTGAAATCCGTTCGATCCAGCAAAGTTGTCAGTCATACCGATGCCTTCGTCTTCGATGCTGTTCTGGATATTCTCACTGCCAACGTTCGTGCTCGAGCTGCCTTCATAAGGCGGGAGCTCATCCTCTGTCTCGCGCGACACCGTGGCCATTGTGCTACTAGCCAAACCACGATTTCCGCGCGGGAGAGTTGCTTCGGCTCCGGTCCCAAGTCTCGACGATCCAGTTAGGGAGGAGCCCCCGGCGAGACGTTGATCTTCCCCCGAGCTGGTGTCTCCCTCTTCGTCATCTTCGCCGCCCTTGTCGAACTTGTCGAAGATTTCCTTGAAACGGGGACCGCCCAAGGGGCCGTCTGAGCGGCGGCGGTAGAACAGCAGGTACGCTGCCTTGGTGATAACACTCTCAGGCGATGTCTTGCTAACCGACGTGTCTGGGTTCTCATTAGCTTGGCTGCGTTTTAGCCGCAGGGCCTCACGTACCGTTGTAGTTGTACCACTGTCCATCGACAAAGTTACGTCCGTACGCCGTATAGTGACCGCCACCGAGACCGCCGAAATGGTCATCGACGGCAATGAGGTCGTAGATCTCTTCCTTACCCGTCTCTTGGCAGAGGACGCGCTTGTGCAGATCGAGACCTTCGATGGGGAAGTCGACCAGAACATCAAGCTTGTCGCGGCGCCAACCTGAGCTGCTGAATCTCTTCAGGTGGACAATGAGGATGTCTGGCGTTTTCCAAAGGTCGAACTTTTTGCTGGCACGTCGGTGTTCTTTGCAGCGTGGGCAGTACCACATGTCCTGCTCAGACAACACTTCGGCCTTCTCGAACTCGTCCAAGCATTCCTCAAGAGTAATTCCCTGCTTCTTACGAGCCATTCGCGTCTTACGCTTCTGCTCGAGAGCTTGGTCCTCAAGTTTCTCGGGTTCGACAAAGGTCCTCTGGCCGCGAGTGTCGTCGTCGCGATCTTCCTTACCAAAGACCATTTCCCAAGACTCTTCGGTCCAGTCGACGATGATGCCCTCGCCAAGACGGATGAGGGGGCCACCGGGAACTTCGTCCAACGGCGATGGCTGGGGCGCAACGTCGACAAGATTGTAGGACTGCTCCTTGCTGTTCCGCAGCTCCTTATTGCGACGCTTGTTGCCTTTCTTGCCGTATGTCTTGTTGCCCTTGTTGAACTTGCGGCGGGCTCCACCAACCTTATGGTTGCCTCTACCACGAGCGGCCTGCTTCAAGTCAGATGTGGACCTGATGGTTAGAAACGGGAGAATGCTTACCTTGGGAGGGAGTCGGACCGGCTCATCCTCCTCCGACTCGTCTGCCATGCGGGTCTGCTCCTCAACCGACTGTGGAGATTGCTCCTCGCTCACACTCTCGTGTTCACTGTCAGCGGTGTGGGAAGAACCAGGGCTGTTGGAGTCTGCCTCGGGCGTGGTCTCGGGTGCCCTAGAAGCCAGAGTGCGGAAGTTCTTGTTGTCGTCGACTGAGTTCCAACCGGTTGGCAGCGGTGAGTCACCATTCTCGTTGAAAAAGCTGAGCTCAAACAGGTTCTGCAGTTGAGGCGGAAGGTAGGCGCTGCTGTTGACCCATTTGGGGCGAGTGGTGTTAAACTGCTTCAGAGCTTGTCGGCCATTCGACTTTTGCCCGCCTGCGACCATGGAGACATCAACTAAGTCATCTTCTCCTTCTACTGAGTGGGAGACAATCTTACTGTCCCCCGATGAATCAGCGTCGGACTGGGACGTGATGACCATGTCGGCATCGGTGCTGTCGTCGTTCTCGGAGAATTCGGACCAAGTAGAGAATGTCGCCACCTTTTCCAAGATCTTGCGGCGAATGGCGTCCTCGTTCCGAGACTGTTCTGGTTAGCACAAGACTGTTGACAACACAGGGTGTCCACTTACTTCCTCGGGAGTGAGAACGATGAAGTGGGGAGGCGAGGCCACATCGTCTGATCTCATGCGGTAGGTGTTGTTGTTATTGCGCTTGCGGTGAAGGACAGTGACGACCATTCGCTCGGTGAGAGGATCGACATAGGGCTCGTCGCTGATGTCTAGCATAGAAGTAGGCGCACCCATCTTCTTTTGCTTGGGAGGATAGTTCGTTGGTGCTACCTCAAGCTCGTGGAAAGTGGGAATGTCGTTGGACTGGATCTCATCCGACACGTCGCTGCTATCGTCGTAGACCTTGAAGAATTTGCCCTTAAACTCTTCAGCTCCTAGTAACAGCTCCACAGGCACGCCAGTCTTATCCGAGATGGTCTTCTTGAGCCCCTCAATGGCGCTGTGCTTTGACAGCTCAACCTCGATCTGTACAGGCGCATCGTTCAATGGCAGGAATTTGACAGTTCTACTCCACATGTCCTCCACGGGAAGCGGCAAGGTCAGATTGCTAAAGGGGTCGAAAGTGATGGAGATCTTGTCGCAGACGGGGCACTTCAGAGTCGACTTGTACAGTCCGGTGAAGAGGTCCGCGACAACTGAGTCGTCACGCTTGCGCGTGATGTCCCACACCTCTTCCGCCATCTTTCGGATGGCCGCCTCATCGCCAATCATCTCATCGGTAGAATCAGGCTTCTCAATGTACGGCTTCTTCTTGATGCGGCTCAGATCTTCCTGCAGGGCGTCGAGAAGAAATCCGAGGAACTCTTGAGTGTCCTGCTGACCCCAGCCCTGGAACGTGCTGCGAGCGCGGCCGACAGTGTTCTTGAAGTCGCGCGGGCTTACGGCGCCTCTTGACTCCGCGTAGATCTCCTTGAGAAGATTGCCGTATGCCATTGCGACCTGTCCCTTGTAGCCAAGCGCGTTGGCCTTGTTGATTTCCTTCTCGTACTCGCCGGTCAGGAAGTACTTTGTCAATTCCTCAACGCTGCGAACGCACTGAAGAGCCGAGTTCATGTAGCAAGTATTACCCAGATTTTGGAGACCGACGGCGCCAAGACCTCTGCCTGGCTTCTTCTGCTGGGTCCGACCTCTGGTAACAGGCCCCGGAGCAGGGCTGTTTCGGCCACTGGTGCCTTTCCCTTGTGTAGTCAAGCTCGAGGCGCTACCTCGTGAGGCAATGACCTTGTCGTTGGCGGTTTTCTTGCCCAAGCCGGACACCCAGGAGTTGGCACTGTACTGTTCATCAACGACAAGGATGCAGTCCTGCGATAGCCCGTAGAAAGACACGGGAGAACGGCCGTTGTAGTTTTCGTCGCCTGTCCTGTCATCCGCCGTAACCTGAACGCGCTCAGTGTCTCTAGCAAGAGCCGTGAGGACAGTCGGTCTAATCAGCAGCTTTTGCCAGGGGTCGGCCGAGGTTTCGGCCTGCTTGTCGGGGTTGGGTGACTCGGGCGGCGTCAACGTAGACGGGGGCGACAGGTCCTGCACAACTGGCGTGGTCGGCTTCTGCAAGACTTGCCACACACGGATCTTGCGGTCAAGGGGAATACCCATGAGCTGCTTCAACTCCTTGTAAAACGCATTATACGGCATGGTGGAGCTTCGGGCCAAGACGAACGGGCCCTTGGCCTTGAGCTCGTCATTAACCTGGAAGGGACTGGCAGGCGATTCGACCCTGTGAACCGTGAAAATGGGAGGATGAAGCTCGAACATGATGTTGGCAGGGCTTGCAGCGTCGGTCGCCGTGTTGATAGCAAGACGAACAATAGGCTTTTGGCCTTCCTTCACACCATACCACTCAGACACAAGCGTCCAGGCATCTTCGGGAAAGAGTTCGCATTCCTCCAAGCTGACGCCGGGCTTCATCCGCACAAAGTCATCGCCATTGGGTTGCTTCAGAACCTCGAGGATCACGCCCGAATTGTCGACAGGTCCCAGTGGCTCGTCTGACGCCTCTTTCTTTGCAAATTTGGGGTCTCCACCCAGCGCTAGCGCCTTTTCCACCCACGATCTCGACACAATGTACGCAACAGTGCCTGCTTTGGGGGGCTCGTCGTTGAAAGCCTTGAGAAGTGTCTGAATCGTCTTGATCTGCTCTGGCAGCGGAGGAATATCTGCAACAGTTTGGTCAGCAAACAACGATTAAGCGTGTCTGAAAGATGGATCCTACCCTTGTCTTTGGGTGCACCGGAATGACCGTTCGCAGCGTTGTCGGGCAAATCGACGCTCATGGCGCGGGGCAGGTGTGTTTTGGAGGTAGACGGGGCACTCTCGGGGTCCTCGGTCGTTTGGGCCGGGGTCATCTCGACGTCCTCCTTCATCTCAACGTCGGCGTCGGGGTCCATGCTGGAAGCACGTCGTTTCAAGGGCGAGGAAGAACGTTGGTGAGGGTTGGCATCACTGGTCATGATGGCTCGGCGGGAGACGTTGAAAGGAGACCGGCTTCTGGCTGAGTGGTAGGTCAGCGCAGTGCCAGTCTCGGGGCCGGAGATGTCCCCTCGATCGCTGTCGATGGAGAGATCGGCGACACCGCAAGGCGATGAGGCGGTGCTGGATGCGTAGTCGGCGGAGACAAGAGAGCCGGTTTGCAGACGCGCAGGCAAGCTTGAAGCCGGGACAGAGTCGCTGCGAGCGTAGGTGGGAGTCGACCGGCCGTCGGTTGACGCAGCGGAGAAGGAGAAGGCCGGGTCGTCGTTTGGCTCGCACGACGGGAGGACGGTGTCGGCAGTGGAGGAAGTGCTGGTGCTAGGCACTTGGTCGTCGCAGGACTGGTTGCGGGAGAGCTTTCTCTTCTTTGAGGAAGACGTGGTGAAGGCGAGCTGCCTGTGCAGCTCCGGGATGGCGGCGGGGGAAATCCAAGTGTAGCGAAAGCAGATGGGAGAAGGCGTCTTGCATTAGTAGTGCAGTGCAGCCAGCCAGTCGTTCAAGCAGCAGGTCTGTTTGGCGGATGGCAGACAGACCCAGGGCAAAAGCACAGAACAGAAGGACGGGGGAAAACAAAGTAGAGGTCCAGGTCGACAGGGCGGTGGAAAACTACAGCTGAGGACCTCCAAGCGGACTGCGCATCGGGGCTTGTGGGGTGGGAGGAGAGAGAGAGAGTGTGTGTGTATGTGTGAGAGGGCGAAGGCGGAAGGACCGTACGGAATTGGATCCCACAAGGAAACGGCAGGAACTGGTCCAAGTCGTGAGTAAGGTACGGAAGGGCGTGGACGGTGGTAGACGTAGTGAGTGAGGTAAGGTAAGAGAAGGCGACGGGCAGGTATGTGTGCGTTTGAGTTGGGGGCAGATCAGATACAGATGTGCGCGCGTCTGCTTTGCGACCTGTGCTTGCGCCTTTCTACCTTGCCAAGTGCTGTGGAAAGAAAGCACTGTAGAGGATGGCTATTGGAGGCGGTTTCAACCCTGGTGGTGGACGTTTGCTGCTGCAGTACTGCCGGATTGTCTGTTGTCGTACAGTGCGGAACAGGCAAGATCCAGTAATAAGCCCAGGTCCTTGGTACCTAGAATAATTGGGAGGAGCTGATGGCGGATGCGGTACAGCTGATGCAGATTAGGCCGATTTTACAGACTGCCCAGCAGCGAGCGCTCTCGCTTGGAGGGGGTCTGGGATTTTTTTTTCCCTAGGGGAGGGTGGCTTTGTCCGTCCTGGCAACCTTCTGCCCGAGAAACGAGGTGTAGAAGCTGGGGTGATGAATGACTTAGGTAAGGCGAGGACTTAGAGGGCGCGGCTTAGAGCAAATGGTACGTATCTTGTGAGACGGTTGTCAGTGTCATAGGAGGCCTTAAAGGTAAGAACAGACAATGTTGATTTTTGTTGTTGTTGTTGTTGTTGTCATCCACTTATATTCTCAAAGAGATCAGACATGAGAAAATAAAATGAAGAAACCCGCTGTGAGATGCCTCAATGAATCACTTCTTGTTGTTCTACTTCGCAGAATTGCAAAAGTTGAGGGACAGGTGCACTGAACGGGAGAAGAAAGAAATGATGGAGGATGCCCTTCACTGCTGGCACCGGGGATCAAGTGGCCAGCCTCATAATTCAGATTCCCCCCCCCAACCACACCAACCTACCCACGAGGCAAAGGAGAAAGGGAAAGGGGAGATGCTTTCACAGGGAAGTGATGGTCAACTACACCAAAGTTGAGAAAAATTTGAAAAAATAATAATAATAAATTTGGAAAAAAAATAAAAAATCGTAGAGAACTCTTTCAGGGAAAGTACATGCATCCAATCGGTTGCCAATTGGGATTTCGTGCTGCACCAATGCAGCTTACCCCCACATCTGGGAGGGGAAAGAAGGAAAGGCCAACTGCCACTCCGCGAATCGTAGCTGCCTATTCAAGCTCCCCGGCGTATCCTCATCGCTGAAGCCGGCTTTTTTTCTTTTTCTTGAGGAGGAAAAGAGCGTGGTATTGGAGCGGGCACGGCGGGGAAGGAAGGGCTTTTCTTGACCCAGTACCCGGGCACCTCCAAGTCCGGCACTGGGCAAATCCTGCATGGTCCGAGCCGGGAGCTGCCTTGCGCTGCCCGGAGGTTACTACCGTGAGCCCTAGCCTTGTAATAAGTCCAGTGTTGTTCCCGTTGACCTGCTGACAGGACGACGCGGAACCAGTTGATATTCGAGCAACTTCAGAGCATATCAGGCCGATGACATCTTAAAGCTCATGTCGCTTGGAGAGGAACCCTCTCTGCGCTTCTATGTGCCACGTTTTCCCCTTCCTTTTCTTTTTTGGACTTTTAGGGGCCTGTCCCAAATCACTCCGTGGTGTACGTACACGTAAGGTAGATGCATCGGTCCATGGTCAGGGGTCCGCCCACCGCTTCTTGTCGTTCCTTTCCTCCAGCTTTTCCAATACGGACAGCACTTCAGGTCCAACTGTCAGGAACGGTAGGACTGTTTGTTCGGCAGGAACCATGTCTTTAGCCAGATGTTAACAAACATGGCCACTTGTCTCCTCCATCGTCCGTCAATTCTGACTTGCCATGACAGATCGAAGAATATTCAGTGAAATCCGCGTCAAAGCGTCCCCGCGGCCCCACATACTTCTTACCACGACCTCCCAGCTTGACGTCAGAGTCAGCCCCTGCCTCTTGTCGCCGACTTGGGTATTCTCGGCTGGAAAGCGGCATGAGACCTTCACTCTGATAGGGCATTTCTTCACATCATCCCAAGCCTCTCTTGACCGCCTATCTTCGAAACCCTCGTTGCAGACCACACATTTGGAGCGGGAAAAACAAAGTAAAACCAAAGCAGCAAGACTCTCTCTTGTCGACCCTCAATCAAAAGTCAACCCGTGGTGTTGCCAATCAACTCGACGCGTAACCAGCATTCGCCACATGCCCTTCATTCTTGACTCGTGTGGACTCTGCATATCACCCGACTGCTTGACAGGCCGGACACACGGTTTCGCATTCTATTACTCGTAAAAGCATATGACATGCAGGTCTCTCTTCTGTTTCTAACTACACAAACCCAGGTAGTCTTGTTGCTGTCCAACCCGCTATAGTGGCGGCTGTGGTACACGAATGCAGGCTGCTCAACTCTTGGGGCTCTATCCCAATTCCCGTGGTGAAGCCTCATAACGTCTCCCCCCCCCCCCCCCCCCATCCTGACGATGGATGCGTGTAATAACCGATGCTCGAAACAACTGTTTTGGTGCCAGTACTCTTCTCTCGACAAGACTCTGAGTCCGTTGTCCTTCTAGCAAATGTCTCTTCTTGTAATCACCCCTGGTCTCAACGCCGCATGTGTGTCTTGAACAACCATCTTCCACTCGCTGCTCATAGCTTCGCATCCGTGTCTTCGTATTCGCTCAGGTCTTTGGCTGGCCGGGCTCCCCGCGTCGCCTGCAGACCCGCCCGGAAACTACGCACGTCTTTAATGGGGACTGGCTCCGGCGTGCTCGTCGCATCGCTCTCTTCCTTCTTGACCCCATTCACCTTGGTTTCCGTCTCCGTCGACTTACCCGCCTGGGCATGAAGGTGGACTGAAAGCTTTGCGCGTGTAGCAGAGCCCGGCTTGATGTACTGCTGGAAGAACTCAATCATGTCTGCCTTCGTGAGCAACTTGATATGGGCGGCATCTTCGTGGGCTAGAAAAAGGGTCAGCATCCGTAATCCTCGACACAAGAATGTCTACTCACTCAGCTCAAAGTCGTAGTATTCACTGGCGATCTGGGCCCAGTGGCGGCTGCTCTCCTGGTCAAGGTTCTTAAGCTTTTCCAGACGCTTCACAATCAAACTTCGCTTGTGGCCCTCGAAATCGGTCTCGGACATGGAGTCCAGGTTGTTGGCGAAGAGGTTGAGGAATGCTTCGATCCTCGACTCGAGGTATTCAGGCGTTCGCTCACTTTGAATGATGAACCGGAAGCCATAGGTTGTTGAGAAGCTTCGGACTCCACTAAAGACAACGTAGCCCAACTGCTCCTTGGTTCGGAGTTGGTCGAATGCCGGCTCATGGGTCATCTGGTCGAGGAGCATTGTCTTTGCCCGCGTCATGCGGTCGCTCTTATCCCCAACGTACAGCCACACCTCGATGCAGTGGTTGACGTTTGCTGGGTCCTTCAGCGTCTTCTTGTAAACGTAGTTTGATCCAGCGGGGAGAACAAGAGATCGAATGACTGGCCACTGAGGGCGTGGCAATTCACGGGGCTTCAGGATTGTCTCAATCATGTCAGTCAACTTGAGGGCATCCTCTTTGTACAGATTGCCGTGCACATAGCTTTCAATGTGCACTTGTGAAAGCATCTGCTTCTTGAACTGGCGGACGTCCTCAGCAGTGATGTTGGGCAGCTCAGCCAAAGACTCCTCGACAACGTAGTCACGCTCAGAGTTGAGCCAAGTTGTGTAGTCTGACACCTGGTGGAAGGGCTGCTGAAGCTCCCAGTTGTTGTATCCCCGGTTTAGGCGCTCCTTGATGATGTCGAATCTCTCATCCTTAATCTTGATGTCGCGCATAGTGATGAGAACCTGCTCCAAGAGAACCGCCAACTTGTCGTTGTACCCACTGAGGTCCAGGAACAAGCCGCGGGCGTCAAGGGTGACACTGTACTGCAGACCTGCAAGCTCCGCATCATACGAGTAGGCCTCCAACGCATCCCTAACGAGGTCGGTAAACAGCCTAGCCTTGACAGCATTCTCAGCAGTCGAGTAGATGTTGGGGTTCCGGCAGCTGATGACAAGATTCGCCTTGGGCACCCAGAATGTGTCATCTTTCTTGAACCACGTCCGAGCGATGCTGTCGTTTCGGACGACACGCGGCGCCACTGCCGGCTCCTTGACCTCCTTCTTCTCGACCTCGAGCTTGGTGGGTATGAAATTGTTCTTGTGGGGGAGGTGAAGCTCTGCGAGTCGGTCGGAGGCGGAACTCGAGGCAGCCTTCTTGATCTCTGCCATGAAGTCGTCGGGAATCTTCTCGTGGCGGTACTCGGTGCCGTACCACTTCTCCTTCTGATCCCAGTCGCCAGGGAACTTCTGCGACACGATGGTCAAACGGAAGTTATCAGGTCTCAAGCAAGCCAGTCCCTTGTCAATCAGTTGAGAGTCGAACTTGCGCAGCCGGCTGTATCCACTGAGAAGCCACTCGCGCGGCAGCGGCTTCTGCATGACGGCACTAGTCTTGCTGGTGAAGCGGCTTGCTGGCGTCTTTTGTTTAAACTTGAAGTCAACATCGGCCATGCCCTTCTGCTCATCAAAAATCCACTCTTGGGGCGGCGACTCCCGGAGAAGAGAGACGTATTGGAAGAAGATCTTGACGATCTCCTTGTAGTTCTTGAGGCCCTGTGGTTTGCGTCAGCATGTGAGGCCATAGTAAGATCGGCGAATTCCAAGCTCACCTCCTCGGTCAGGCGAATCTGGCAGTCAAAGATACCAGGGGTGCCCGGACAGACTGGGTATGCGCCGGCACTTAGACCGTTGGCCCAACCCTTCTCCTTGACATAGGCCATGATACTTCCAGGTCCCTCGTGGCCGATCAGGTGGCTGACGTATCGGCTGGGCTGCGACTCGAACATGTTCTCCTCGTCGAGGAACGGGAAAAAGAGGTTCAGTTCGCGCGAGTCCATCACCGGCTTGGCGAACACCTGCACACCGAGCTCGCTTTCGCGGAAGGGCACCTCGGCCTCCCAGCGGTTCGGCACCAGATTCTTATTGGGGACCCCAGCAAACAACTCTGCGACCCAGTCCTCCAAAACGTCCAAAGGCTCCCGTCCCAGAACCACCAACTTCATCCTGTTCGCTGAGTAGTGCTTCTCGTGGAACTCCATAAACTTGGCCCGAACATTGACGCCCTTAGCCTCTGGCTGGGCCTTGAGAACCTCGAAGTTGCCGGTCGAAAAGTGGCAGAAGGGGTGCTTGGGGTTGGAAAGGCTCTTCTCAAGCTGGTGCAGTCGCCATTGGTCGCTCTGGAGGTTCTTCTTGTTCTCGGAGTCGACTGCGCGCAACTCTCGGTCCAGGGTCGATTCGAGGAAGAGAGGCTCGATAAAGAACTGGGCGAAGCGGTCGAGCGCACCCTTGAAGGGGGAGGGGTTCGAGGCCGAGGGCTCCTGGTCGTTAGCAGGCTTTGCAGAGACATCGAAAAAGTAGTTGGTGGAGGTTGCTCCCGTGTATGCGTTTGAGCTGCCAGAGTTGGAGGCGAGGTACTGGGAGTATTCGTTTTCTACAGGGAACTTCTTGGTGCCCATGAACAGAAGCTGCGCAAACAATTGTCAGCCGAGGGAAGCGATTGCGAGGGGGTTTCTTGGTGTGTGTGGAGAAGCGTACATGTTCCACGGCATGGGCCATGCCGGGCATATCCTCTTCGTCGCTGAAGTTTCCGACATTGACGTCAAGGGCGGCGCTGGCCTTGTCTGTCTCTGGATCGTGGACCAGCAGGGCCTCAAGCTTGTTGGACAAGCGAATGACACGGTAGGTTCTGTCGTCGAGCGAAGGGGTCTCGAGCTGATCCGTCACCCGCTCGATAGGCTGGGGCCTCGGCTCGCGAAGAGGGCCATCCAGGTCCCTGGGACCGCGGGCACTGGGCTCTCTGTCAGACATGTCGGCGGAGTTGTGCCTAAACCGTCGAGAGTGAATGACGGTGATGGCGGTAGGTGTTCGGGTCAGGGTGCTGGTTGTAGGATTAATGTTTTTGGTACCGATCCTCGTGCAGTGGTGGTGATAGATGCAGTTGGGTGGAAGGGAGTGTACGGCACGGGGCTGCAGCAGGACGGTTTGGGAGACTGCTGCTTGTCGCCTAGCACTTTGGAAGAAGACAAAAGCTCTGGACGTGGGGTGGGGGAACGCCACTTTTGAAGGATAGGGGACGTTGGGGCGAACGTAGGCAGAGGTGGACGTGGTAAGGAGGGTAAGGTATGACAAGGAGCGGGTGAGGGTTGATTTGAAGAAGAGGAAAGGTGAGTGAGGCACGTAAGAGGTGGGTTCGCAGGTGGATGAGATGCAGCGCAACGAAGTCAGTCAGTCAGGCTGGAGCAAGCTGCGACAGGATTGAGAAAGCACCCGCAAGCCGCAGCGAAATGCAAGGCAAGGCAGATTGGAAAGGCGGGTGCAGTGTGAGTGGTTGGATGAGGTGCCCGTAAGGTAAGGTAGTGTGCGAGTGTAAGTGTCAGCCGTGGGACGGACGGTGGAGGAAGACGAAGAAGCAGCCGGGAAGGTGCTTGGGTGCTCGTGCGGCGGCCGGGGTGCGCAGGTCGCAGGTCGCGGGTCGCAGGACAGGGGGGGAGTGGAAGGAGGGGAGGCGAGCGGGTACAGGTACTGCAGTGAGGGAAGGGTCGTGGTTGCGGCTGGCTGGCGCTGCTGCTGCTGCTGCTGTGTTGCTGTCGCTGTTGCTGTTGCTGGGCTGGCCTGGGCCTACCTACCTTAGGGTGAGATTGGGATTTGGGGACTGGGCCTCAGGCATGTGGCGGAAAGAGGGACGATATGGGGGAGGAAGGACCGCACGGAGAAGTTGAATGTTCCTTCCTACCTACCTAAGTGACAATGCCTAGGTATTCGTAGTGTAAGGCAGATACGTACGGTGCCTACCTTAGTTACCTACCTTGGGTAGGTAAGGTAGGCAGGTAAGGTAAGGTGGGTACTGGGTTTGTTAATGATGATGATGTTGGTGCTAATGTTCAGTCAAGCACCCAGTCAAGCAGGTACGTATCTTGGCCGTGGAAGATGGAAACACATCTCGCGGAAGGAACAGTGGCACTGACTGGACATGACAAACTGGCAGGAGCAGTCCGGTCTGCTCTGCATCTTGGTAGTAGTAAGTACCTTACTGACTCCTGCCATCGCACCGGCATCAGCAAGCACCTCAGCATCAAGCAGAAACAGAGGCCACGGCAGAAAGCAGGCAGAGCAACACCCAGCTGCAACTGCAAGAGAACACCTCATGGAAAGAAGGGTCTGTGCTCGGCGTGGGGACGCAAGGGACGCTACCGCTGTGCGACCCAAGGGTACCAGCCAGACGGTCTCCAGAAACGATGGACGAAAGCGGATAGACGGGCTGCTGATCGCTGGAACGCTGTTGCTCTCGCGAGGGTCCCTGTAGCCTGTAGGGGTGGCTCCAGGCCCTTCTTCTCCCTTCATCCCTCCATCCGGATGCTGTCTTGCCTGTTTCCTGCGGCAGTCCGTCAGTAGCTCTCTCCCATCCATCCATCTTCATTCCTCTCAATGACTGGCCGGCAGATAGGAGGCTACAAGAACAAACAACAACAATATCGCCATCAAAAAAGCCGATAGCCGCCGTCAGAGGCCTGCGACGACGCCGAACACCGGATTCCAACATCGTTCCCGATCTGCTACTGCCGCCGGACTCGCGCTAATGTCGCCGCTGCGGCACTACCGAGAAGACCGCACCACAGGGATTCTACTTCCCTTGTATGACTGATGTCAAGGGCGAGATGACGACGAGGTCTCTCTGAAACATACAGTGGCTCTCCTGCCGTGACGAACCGTCTGCCGTCTGGCCGTGAACATGGAGTTCGTCGTGACTATTGCCCTGCTTAACCGCGACCGACGGTAGCAATATTCGCCCTACATATCATGGGCCCCTGGCAAGGTTGCAGATGCCACGACAACCACGAACATGCCTGCCTCACCGTTACCTTCCGTCTCCAGCTTCTTTTTTGAGGCTGGAGATGAGGCAGTCCAGCCGAAATGCCTAATTTACATCCCGTCTCTTGCCTGTCCACGTCTAAACCCCCGCTGATGTCTGGGAGGGGGAGGGAAAGCGAGTCGCTTGCGAATCTTCAGATCCTCGATTTGACCGCCCCTTCCATCCCGCCTGGTGCGCTGTTATGGCGCCAGGATACCCCGACTTCCATAGCTCCACGTGGAAAGAGACTGGTTGTCAGGTTGAAACGCAGTGCGGTGCTGTATGCCTTTGTGGCAGTTCGGGGCTGGTCGTTGAGTCGAAGAGGGGAGGGACAGGCTGGACGGCAAGTGAAAAATAACTGGGACCGCTGCTTTTTTGGTGGTTATATCACCGGCTTGCTAATGTCAGAAAGCAGAGATCATTTGGGGGCCGGACCCGGCGCACCACATTGATGTCAAAGATTCGCACTCCCAGTCAGTCGGATGTGTTGCGGTCGGTCGTCGTCGGAGAGGAGAATGCATGCGAGTGGACGACACGGGGGACGGGCCCGGAGACGTACAAGGGCCCAGGAAACGACCAGCGCACATGTGCAGCATTGTGGTGGGTACAAGAGACCCCAAACAAGCCCAGGGAAGAAGACTGAAGCGGGCACGACTGATCAAGGTACATGGGAGAAATGGATACAGATCATTTGCACTCTCTTCAGATCTCGCTGTGCCGGCAGGTAGCCACGTTGACAAATCCCAATCCCCCGTTATGAAGGAATATCAACCCTGGGAGATGCCGCAACAGTGCCTGCTGCTGCTGCTCGGGCAGTTTACTCTGAAGGGGCAATGCCCTCTCCAATCTCGAATACCTTGGAGAGGGTCTTGTCTCGCTCCCGGATCTTCGCAATTGTGGGATGATAACACATTCAAAACCGCACGATATTTGATTGGATTTTTGGGGTTTGTCTGGCGCGGAGCGACGGGAGCGGACCGGCCTGGGGAAACTTGGAAAGGATGGGCGGCAAGGGGGGTTTCAAGAAAGAATGTCTGACGGCAGGGGCCTTTACACACACACACACACGCATTTACAAGTAACTGGTCTGGCTTGTCGGGCTGTCCCTTCCATCATCCTTGGCTGGGCTTGCCTCACCTGTACTTCAATGTCAATCGTGCTCTCGCTCGCCCATGGACCGCGTCCCTCTGGTCGTCTGGCAAGGGGCGGGGAATGGGAAGGCTATTAGACGTAGCGCGGGCTGGCCCGCCGTCCGCCGTCTAGATAGGTAACCCCGGTGCTTATTTGCCCTGTGATTTGAGTCACCCTATCATCCGGGTCCCCGATGTCTCAGGCATATCCTCTTGGCACCAGTTGATGGCAAATTTCGCTGATGAGCTGTTATATCAATAAGATTGGCAATAGCTGATATAGATGATGGAGGGTATAAAATCCGGTGAGAGTCGCTGATTGTCTTCTACTGACACGTTACACCCGAGCCGCCTCCCACCCCCATCGAAAGGAAAGCCTCACAGAACAACTTGATACCCGGGGATCCGTCCACCCTTGCTTCCGCCCCGGATGAGCTGTTGGTGGAGAGGCAACGAAGATTGAGAAAAGGAAGAGAAACGTGTTGCAAGGCGGTGACAGGGGAGACGAGTCGGGATGTTGCAATTTCGGGTGTCAGCGCCGAAAAAGAAATAAAGCGAAGACAGGGGACTCTTTTTCAGTTGCTTCGGGAAGGGCAGAAGAAATTGAGGTCCCCCGGTCCGTTTCTAATTTATTCCCGGGAATCTGGTTGCGAGCAAGTAAGTAAAAGAGAGAATGGGAGGACAAGAAAAAGAAAGCAAGCTCGGACTTTGGCTTGCTGGCCGACGACCTGAATTATGGACGTGAAGAAAGGCGGACGTGCAGTCACCTGCTGAGAAAAGCGTCAAGTTCGAGGAGGCAAACCCAAACTTACACATCCATTTACATGCACACACACACACATACACACAACGGAGTGTAGTCATTTGATGCCAAGCATATCTAAGAATGTGTTTGCTTGTCAAGATCAATTGAACGGCCTGCGCTGACTTGCTTGAACCCCACCCAATAGAGATGACGAAAACTTGAGACAAGACGGTTTGCCAGCTTCGCCGTAAAAGCCATCCTAACCTTCCACCCACTTCCAATGTTTGCGCACTACTCATGTACAACGCCGCTCGGGGAGACAACCATTTCTCTTGGTGTCATTCGCTTGACCTGTTGAGGCAATCCGGCAGTGTAGGCAGATCACGCCGATGCCCTCGTGCATGGGCTGGAGGCCGGTGTGCTGATGTTCGCAGTGGACGAACCTAGCCTGCCACGCTACTTTGATGCCTCACATTAGCATCACAATCCCGCTCAGGTCGAGCCCAGTAGCAACTAGGAGGCTGAGAGCCTTCGATCAGTACTCCATGTGCCCATCTGCTTACATCTTGGCTCACTGAATGACTGGCTGATGCTCAAAGCAACAGGCTACGCATGTTTACTATTTTAGCACGGCAGTGCGGATCCTCATCCCTGGATTCCGGCGACTCGGCTTGGATCCGTCTGGCGGGATGCCATGCTTCTCTCATGCACCGTCCAACACACTTGCCTGCCCTGCGGGCCAGCTCCATCGAGAGAGGAGAAAAAACCTTTTGCTTGCCTCCATGTCATCTCGTTGAGGCCTAGAGCGAGATGATCGTCGTCTCGTCGCTGCATTCCTGTGAGATGTTGCTGGAGCAGAAGCTGACGAGACAACTTTCAGCCCCCACATCCCGGGGTCTCTGACCGAGGTCATTGGATGCCTCTTTTCGATATCGACCTTTGTGCGGACTCGGACAATCTTGACGAAGAAGTCTGTCAGCAAGGTGTGTCTCCCCGGCGGCCGATTTCCGCTATATGAATCTCACCGAAGCCAAGACGGTGTCGATATCTGCCGCATATGACAGCTCTCATCTCGGAGGTCTTG